ATTGCATGGCTCAAGAAGAGGGAATCCACGCTGGGCGCGTCGGCATCACTTGGAATATGGTTTGATAGTGCGGAAGCTGCCGAATGGGTGGTAAACAATGGAATGGTGTTTGGACATCGATATATAGGCAGCATTGAGGCATATCAGATCAAGAAGAAATGATGCCACAGATGCCTGGCCTTCGGCCACCTGGCCTGGAACTGCAAAGAGAGACTATGATGTGGTTTCTGCACGTGAGAGCACAACACAGCCAACTGCCCTCGAGAGTTGACTCCTAAATGCGCAGACTGCGCAGAACGCCACCCAACAGGAGCAACAGAGTGCAAATCGAGAGCCAATATCACCAGCCTTCAATGTTAACACAGAAACTGCAGATTTTACAACTGAACACCAACAAAAAACGTTCGACCATGGAAGCACTCCTCAATGACCGCAAAATTGAAGATTTGAAGGTGCTACTCGTACAAGAACCCCCTTTCACATATTATACAACACCAATACAACACCCACATTGGAGGGTGTTTCAAACATCATGCACTGAAACACACGCCACGGGGCGCAGTCTAATATATGTCAACAAGCGCATATCAACCTCGGCATACCGCCAAAGGCGGTGCCACAGCCCAGATGTAACAGCAATCGAGCTTCAGATAGGAGAAAGCCAGATCTTAATTTTCTCCACATACATCCCACCATTCGACCCAGCAGACAACCCAATACACCAGACCTTAAACAAAATCAGCCGGACAATCCGGCTCTCACTCACAACCACATTGATCATCGCAGGGGATTTCAACCGACATCATCAGATGTGGGGTGGAATCCAGGTGAACTGAAGATGAGCCTGAGACACCAGGGGCCTCCTGGACTTCATACAGGCTCAAGAACTCCATAGCTGTCTCCCACCTGGCACTGCCACCTTCTGGTCAGCGAGCCACCCAGGCACATACTCCACACTCGACCTCACACTCAGTAACATCCCACACCAGTTACTCAAATGCCACCCCTACCAAGACAACTACGGCTCCAACCACCTAGCGATCTACTCAGAATGAGATCTACAACTGAAACAGAAAGATTCAAGTCAGCCACGCAGACTTTTCAACCAAGTGAACTGGGAAGAGATTGGCAAAGCTATAGAGAAGGCAATCCCTACTCCACAGATCGAATCAACAACTCAGCTAGATGGAATAGTTGGCAGATTAATCACAATGACAATAGCAGAAGTAGACAAGCACACCCCGCACGCAAGACCATCTTCTTACACCAAATGCTGGTTCAGCTGAGACCTGAAAACACAGCAGTCCGAGTGCAACAGAAGCTGAAGGAGGTGGCAGGCGAGTTGCGTTGAGCGGGGAAGCGACCACCCAACCACCCAAGCCCTACACATGGACGCGCTGCGGAAGCGCAGGGAATGGACTCGAACAATAGAGAAAGTCAAGCAAGAGCACTGGAAAGAATTTCTTGACAAAGCAAGTGCAGGCAACCACCTGTGGAAAGCAGCAGGATACATCTGCCCCTCAGACAATTACGCCAACATTCCGCCCCTGGTAGTTGAGGACACTGAATATGCCGACAACAAAGACAAAGCTCAAATACTACTGAACAGTTTCTTTCCTCCAGCTACATTCTCGCCGAGAGAACCCCCCACCCCAACCTGGGAGGAACTGCCCTGGGAGCCAATCACAGAGGAAGAGATCCTGGCAACACTGGCAAGGACCAAAAGCAAATCAGCCCTCGGGAATGATGGTCTCCCAGCATTAGTGTGGAAGAGTCTATGGAAATACCTGTTGAAACTCATACACCAGATCTTCGAAGCATCAATCAGACTGGGACACTACTCAACAAGTTGGAAGACTGCGGTGATTGTAGTACTACGGAAACCTGGGAAACTGGACTACACGGCCCCTGGAGCATACCGCCCGATCTCACTCCTTAACACACTGGGAAAGATCCTGGAGGGAGTGATCGCGAAACGCCTTACATACTACACAGAGAAATATAACCTCCTCCCAAACACACAATTCAGAGCCAGACCAGGCAGAACTACAGAACAGGCACTTCTAATCCTGGCCAGCGCCATCAACCAGGCCCAGAAACGCGGTAGGGTCCTGACCCTAGTCTCCTTTGATATCAAAGGGGCCTTCAATGGGGTAAATAAAGACACATTGGAGGCCAGGCTCAGAGAGATGGGAATCCCTCAGATAGCGCGCAGATGGGTCCAGAGCTTCATGGGAAACAGGTCTGCCAATATCAAATTCGACGATTTCAGCACCGAGGTAGCCTCGCTTCCTAACGCTGGCCTTGCCCAAGGATCTCCCCTCTCCCCAATCCTCTTCACCATCTTCAACTCGGACCTGGTCGACCAATCAGTAGATCACAATGGAGGCGCATCCGCCTTTATAGATGATTATTTCCGCTGGAGAACCGGACCAAACACAGAAAGTAATCTGCAAAAGATCCAACAGATAGATGTCCCTAGAATCGAAGAATGGGTGAGATGGACTGGCTCATGGTTCGCAGCCAAGAAGAAGCTGATTCATTTCACTGGAAGGAAAAGAGATCAAACAACAGGGGTTCATCATGATGAATGGACACACCATCTCACCATCACCAGAGGTCAAGCTCCTGGGAGTATATTTTGACCAGGAACTAAACTGGAAAACACACACACAATATATGGTCAAGAGGGCCACCAACACATGCGTCGCCATCGGACGCCTATCCCACCTACGGCCAGAACAGATGAGGCAGCTCTACATTGCCTGTGTAGTCCCCAAATTGACATACGCCTCCACGGTATGGTACAACCCCTTAAAGGGAGCCACACAAGTCAAGGCTCTCACCAAGGTCCAGCGAACGGCCCTGATCAGGATCCTGTCCACATTCCGAACGGTGGCAACACAAACTCTTGAAATGGAGGTGCATTTCCCCCCCCCCTACGCGCCTGGCTGCGACAGCGAGCCTGGGATGTTGTCATCGGCCTCCGCACACTCTCACAATCCCACCCAATACATGGGCCCCTCAGGAGGGCCATGGCAGGGGCAACCTGCAATGGAAACAGACATTACTACCCACTAGAGGACACGATGAGAATGTTCCACAGAGAGGAGCTGGAACCAATAGAGACAATCGACCCATGCCCCCCGGAACCATGGCAGAAGCCAGTACTCAAAGACATCTACCTCGACTCCGACAGGGCCAGAGCCATCAAGAGAGCTACAGAAATAATGGAGAACCCAATCAAGGCAGTCTTCACTGATGCTGCAAAGGAGAATTCAGTGCTTGGAGCAGCGGTGCTGATCATGGACAACTCATACCGCATCCAGTATGGCATACAAGTTGGTGTTGGGCGAGAAAAGCACTGGACTGTCACAACAGCTGAGCTGCTAGCAATATACCATGGACTCTACCTGGTATGGAGATCTCACTCAAGTGAGGGGACACCGCCCCCCCACCAGCACCACACATACACCATCCTCAGTGACTCCCATACCGCTCTCCGAGCCATTGCAAACTCCTCAAAACAAGTTGGAGGACAGATAGTCCAGAACATTCTGCGCACAACAAAACAGCTGAAATCCATAGGCATAGACCTCTGCCTCCAGTGGGTACCAGGACACAGTGGAATCAGGGGAAATGAAATGGCCGACCAGCTCGCCAAGCAGTCAATCAACCCAAACCCAACGCATGGTTTCCCAAAGCCTGCCTCACACCTTAGGGAAGCCAGCCGCAACAGCACCACACATGAATGGAGAGATGAATGGTCCTCAACGGCAAAGGGGACTCACCTGCGGAAGATAGACGCAGCCCTCCCGGGCCAACATACCCGACGTCTATATGCCACACTTCCAAGGCCTCAAGCAAGACTCCTAGCGCAACTCAGAACGGGCCACTCATGGCTGAATGAATTCCGAAACCAAATAAAATACACTGACAACAACAAATGTGAATGTGGAGCAAAAGAATTGGTCCATCATGTCCTAGTAGACTGCTCAAGACTGCAGCAACAACATCAGGTTCTGCAACAAAAGATTGGGGACAGGTTCAACAATATCTCCCTGATGCTAGGGGGTAAACCACCAAACTGGACAATAAATGGGACGGAATGGAAAATCAGTAGGGGAGACCTTGATGCGATCCTAGACTTCACTGAAAACTCGGAAAGATTCCAAGGCAGAGACAACTAGAGTAGATCAGCCACAGGCCTCAACAAGGCATTAAGACCGTGCATGTAATTAGACTAGAAAGAATAGATGAGAGTAGCTGTAATAGTGGTAGCCTGCATATCCCGATGAGGGAGAGGTCAGGGTAGCTGATTCAATCAATCAATCAATCAATCAATGATGGGCACGGCTTTTGGTGGGATCACTGCTTGGCGTGGTGTGTCTCTCACTGTCCTCTTCCCGCCTCAATTGATGGAAGCTATAAACACCACATGCGATGACTGTCAAATCATGTATGCTAACCAAATCGCACAAAATGCTAAAAGGTGAAAATGCAAAATTACAAAACTGCGAAAATTGCCTTTTCGCATGAGTGCAGATATGCAAGCTCAGCCCTGCCAGTTAGTGCTGGGCATTGTTAAGCTTTAAGGGCCCAAACGGTGGGCCATAAATGACGTCATAGGTGGAGTACCTTCCAGCCGTCAGCCCTTTGCCCTAGCGACAGGAGTTGAGGTTAAGCACAGACCTACCCAATCTGCGGCAATTTTCAGGGAAATATACCCTATTCTTTAGAACATCGTGGCCTGGTCATGCTCGGTGCCATTTCTAGGGGAAATATTCTCCTATTCTCTAGAATGTCATGGCCTGTTCTTACGAAAATGATGGCCTTGCCAACTGGCCCAGATATGTTTTCCCTCTTCTTGTGTTGCTAGGAGCACGCAAAGTCGATCCCATCAAAAGCCCGTGCCTTTCCCGGACCAGAAGGGCGCCAAGCCGTGATTTGGTTGGTTTGCGTGGCCTGACATGCATGTGTGGAAAAGCGGTCTAGGCATTTGTTTCCATGAGCCATTTCCTCACAAGAGGATTCTCCTGAGAGGATTCTTGTCACAGAAGAGGCTTTCTAAATAAATACTCTTTAATGGCCAAACTTCACAATATTTAAAAGCTGTTAAAAAATCCACGTGTTCTAGCATCTGACAAGGCCTTCATATCTCAGATAGCAATACAAGAGAATGCCTTTGTGAAACATGGGGACTTGAGAACTCTCACTCGAATCGAGTAACTTCATGTGTCTAAAAATATCTCAAGTAGAGCTAACTGAGTCGCACAGCTACCTTAAGAGAATCATTTTATTCATACAAGCCTCCTGTAAGTGTTTTCTCAGGAATTTGGCTGAATACAAACGAATTTGGCGATCTGGCGATCTGGCGTGGTTGAATGCGTGCGAAGGCGTCTAAATGTATGCCTGGTTGGTCCATGAAAAATTGTCGACTCACCTGATGCAATCAACAGAAAACCTGTGCTGTGGCCCTTCGCAAGAAAACCAGGACAAAAAGGACCAGACACCCACCCAAGTTACAAAAAGTAAAGGTCCACAAAGTATCTTGTGGGGTAGATGTGAAGAGCGGGAGACTACAAGATGGTAGAGTAGACGAGATCAAAGAGCACAGAGAGAGGAGGGTGTGTACAGTACACAGCCAAAGAAACTTGAGGAACTCCAGCGAAGGCTGTGTGCCGTGATACAAAAGGATTTGGCGATCCGGATGAGCATTGCCAAGGGAGCCGCAGGAATTTTTGGAACCAAAACAGGATCCTTTGCTACTGCATGGCCCGATGTTGCACACAGACAGATGCCCGGAACTTCAAAATTTTCAATATTGTATTTATGATTCATCACTCAAATCCAA